TAATGAATGCTATTTCCGCTGCTTGTGTTTGAGAAACCTCATGAAAGGAAGGCTCGATTGTCATGAGTGGATTCGGATCTCCAGATAACGTGTGGTGCTGAGGACGGAAATTAGCCCTTCAAGAATAAAGATATATGTAACCTCCCTTCAAAAAGCGAGAAAGTGTCGGGTGCAGACCAAACACCACAACTGACGACGGCCTCCAAGTAAATCTGGTTAGAAGTTGTTCATAGTGATAGCTGATTTCTGGTAAATGATAGTTGTAATTAGTGACAATCGATAGAATACAACTGCAACAGGCTAATCATTTCATTGGCAGAAAACATTAACATTTTGTGAAGGCCGTCGTCACTTGTGGTGCATGGTCTGCACCCGACACTTTCTCGCTTTTTGAAGGGGAGGGTATCATAGTGGGTGCACTGAGTTACATTTGTGACTCATGCATAGGACAAGTACGATTCCAATCACCTGAACGTTTTTGGATGGAACTGAGTGCGCATGTGAAAAGGGTTAATCGATCCGACTACTTCACTTTTTCGAAAGAATGATTTTGGAGTTTTTCCTGGCGTTTTTTCAAAAAAAAAAACTCAAATTTCTCTGCCAAGCTTTTTCCGGTGATACAGGGATGCCGGTTGTGGGCAAATTTTTTTGCCCCAGGCGAGAAAGTGTAATTGGTTGCACAACTGCCCAGAAAGCGATACGGCTTCGATTCCCGCCTGGAGCGAAGAACTTTGCCCATAATCCAGCATTGAAAAATCTTCGCAATATTTCGTTTTCTTCAAATTAAAAAAAATGAACCTCGCACTTTTTTACGAAAAGACAGCTGTTTAGTGCATATTTAGGGAGTAGTGGTGTCATTTTCTCAACCATTGATTCACACTTACTGTAAGAATTCTTCTGTGATCCGTAAAGAAGCCAACTTTTTCCATGACGTTAGTGGAAGGTAAGTCATTGTTCTTTTGTAGTTTTGACTAGTCCAATTCATTAGTTTCTGTGAATGGTACAGTAATCGTAAGCCGTTTTTTTTTCTGGTGCCAGTACCAGTAATTTTATTCTACTCAGTAGAATTAGTTCTATTTCAGGACCAACGTACTCCTGCTTGGCGACAGTATGGGCGACATTCATATGGATGTAGGGGTCGAAAAAGACGGTCCTACGCTGAAAATCGGTTTTCTCAACTCAGATGTAAGTTTAAAAAA